CCGCCCCCCCGCTTCCAGCCCCGCTCACGGCCACCGGAGGATGGGGATGAAGCACGGCCCCGGCTGAAGAAGTGGAAGGGGGTGCGGTGGAAACGGCTTCGCTTCCTTGTTACCATCCAGAAAGGGGGGGCCAAGCGGGACGGTGACAAGGAGATCGCGGAGTTCATCGACAAGCTGGGCACCACCCTGCGCCCTGAAAAGGTGCCACGGGACCTGCGCAAATGCTGTTTCTGCCACGAGGAAGGTGATGGGGCAACAGATGGACCAGCTCGCCTGCTCAACCTCGACCTTGATCTCTGGGTCCACCTGAACTGTGCCCTGTGGTCCACGGAGGTCTATGAGACGCAGGGGGGGGCCCTGATCAACGTGGAGGTGGCCCTGCATCGCGGGCTGCTGACCAAGTGCTCTCTGTGCCAGAAAACCGGCGCCACCAACAGCTGCAACCGCATCCGCTGCCCCAGCGTCTACCACTTTGCTTGCGCCATCCGCGCCAAGTGCATGTTCTTCAAGGACAAGACCATGCTGTGCCCCTTGCACAAGCTGAAGGGTCCCTGCGAACAGGAGCTGAGCAGCTTCACCGTCTTCCGACGCGTCTACATCGAACGGGATGAGGTGAAGCAGATCGCCAGCATCATCCAACGTGGCGAGCGGCTCCACATGTTCCGCGTGGGCGGGCTGGTCTTCCATGCCATTGGGCAGCTCCTGCCACACCAGATGGCTGACTTCCACAGTGTCACGGCCCTCTACCCCGTGGGCTACGAGGCCACACGCATCTACTGGAGCCTGCGGACCAACAACCGCCGCTGCTGCTACCGCTGCACCATCTGCGAAAACAACGGCCGCCCTGAGTTTGTCGTGCAAGTCATCGAGCAGGGCCTGGAGGATCTGGTCTTCTCCGACTCCTCACCGCAGGGTAAGAGAGCTGCAGGCACCGGCCCGCTGCCTTCCTCCACCCCTTGTCCTGCTGATGGGGAGGCTGGGGCAATGGGAAGTCTTGGGGTGGCTTGAGTTGGGGGTCTGCACCGGCGGGCAGCCTGCAGCAGGTCCTTGGCTCCAACCCTCCCTTCCCTCAACAGCCGTCTGGAACCGGATCATCGAGCCAGTAGCAATGATGAGGAAGGAAGCTGACATGCTACGACTCTTCCCTGAATACCTGAAGGGCGAGGAGCTCTTCGGCCTCACGGTGCACGCAGTGCTGCGCATCGCTGAGTCGGTAGGTCCCAGGGAGGGGGGGGTCTCCTCTCTGCACTAGGGAACATCCCCACTGGAAAAGGGACCAGTGGCCACACTGGCAGGGCTGGGGTGGCTGCGGTGCTGCTGCTCAACCCACAGCCCCTCCACTCCCTTCTTGGCAGCTGCCCGGCGTTGAGAGCTGCCAGAACTACCTGTTCCGCTACGGGCGGCATCCGCTGATGGAACTGCCGCTAATGATCAACCCCACCGGCTGTGCCCGCTCCGAGCCCAAGATCCTCACCCATTACAAGCGGTAAGCAGGTCTGGGATCCACCAGGAGAGATGGAATCCCTGGGTATCCCTCAACACTGACACCCTTTTACCCCTCTCCCCGGCAGGCCCCACACCCTGAACAGCACAAGCATGTCCAAGGCCTACCAGAGCACGTTCACGGGTGAGACCAACACGCCCTACAGCAAACAGTTCGTGCACTCCAAGTCCTCCCAGTACCGGCGCCTGAAGACAGAGTGGAAGAACAACGTCTACCTGGCGCGGTCCCGCATCCAGGGGCTGGGGCTGTACGCAGCCAAGGACATTGAGAAGCACACCATGGTCATCGAGTACATCGGCACCATCATCCGCAATGAGGTGGCCAACCGGCGAGAGAAGATCTACGAGGAGCAGGTGGGGCTACCATGGATGTTGGGGGCTCCTGCAGGGGCCATTGCGGGCTCTGGTTGGCTGTGGGTGGGACTCAGGGGGGCTGAGGGGTGGCTGCATGCAGCCACTGACACCCTGTTCTCCCCCCAGAACCGTGGCATCTACATGTTCCGCATCAACAACGAGCACGTCATTGACGCCACGCTGACGGGGGGCCCAGCCAGGTGAGCATGGGGAGCTTCAGGGTGGTGGGACCTCCCCAGAGGGAGCAGTGACTGTCCACCTGTCCTGCCTCCCCAGGGTCGGGACTGACCCCTGCACCTCTCTGCCGCCCCCCCCCTTCCCCTCAGGTACATCAACCACTCATGTGCCCCAAACTGCGTGGCCGAAGTCGTGACCTTTGACAAGGAGGACAAGATCATCATCATCTCCAGCCGGCGCATCCCCAAGGGGGAGGAGGTGAGACAAGGGCATGGGGGGCCTGGGGTGGGGGCCGGGAATTGTGGTGCCAGGCCCTGTGCCATGGGTGACTCCCTGTTCCCCCCCCAGCTCACCTACGACTACCAGTTTGACTTCGAGGACGACCAGCACAAGATCCCCTGCCACTGTGGAGCTTGGAACTGCCGAAAGTGGATGAACTAGCTGGGAAAAGGGGCTGGGGGCTGTGGCCCCCGCTTTGGAGACCTCACCGAGACCCACCGGGGCCATGGGAGATGCCAGAGTGGCTGGGCATGGGGTGGCTGCCAGGACA